GGTGGTCCTTGGTGTTCGTATAATAAAGAGAGGGCGCCACTAGTTTGTATAAAATTATTTTGATTATCAAAGAATAGCCAAACTAGACACTATTCAAATAATTAACTATTATTTAAAAAGATAAATTCAAAAATCTGAAAAGGTAAAATAAATCCACTATCTATCTGACATTTAACCCCTTCAATAGAAACACAAGTTTGGAATTCTAAAAACAATAATTTATTGACCAGATGGCGAACTTGCTGTTCATTAACATTGAAAAAAATAAATTGTTTAGAGGTGATTATTGTCAGTATCCAATTTAAAATAAAAATAGATAAGCAGCTTTCCGAAAGCAATACTTAATTTAATTAGGTATACAAAAAGATTGAAATTCAAAACAATTAAGTAGATACCTACGATGAGACTAACCTAAGTGTAAATGTTGAAGTCAAAATAATATTAACCTTTAATTTTTGACTCGAAGTCAATCAAATCAATAAAAAACAAATTGATCAATGCGGAAAGATAATAAATAATCCCTAGGAAGTTATAAATATCAAAAACCTGCTAGGTGAAATCAAGGGGTCACGGTTTCTGGAAGAGCTCTACCTTCTTACCTTTAATTTTTAAGGTTCAAAATAGGTAAACATAAAACTTAACTTTGACTACCTTAAGATTTTACATTAGTTTACCTTGTAAAACTACCCCATTATTTATTTGAAATTAAAAATAAAATAAACCCCTTAAAGGTTAATGAATCCTCAATATATTATATCGATAAATACTCGATATTAAAGAAATAAATTTATAATAATTATAACAATGCATAAATATTAGATACTTAATGAATAATGATAGAGAAAACGATAATAAAAGCCAATATCTGACTCTGGTAAGAATTAATTAATTAAATTAATAATTCTATTTAAACAGTAGTTAGCTATTCTAGCTAAACACTACTATACGGTAAACAATTAAGTCGGTAATTGAATTTACAAAGATATTAATTAGCTAATGAAGCTAAACGATAGGGGGCGATAAAGAAAAGGTAAAAATAAGTTCCGGTAATTAAGATGGCACGTTTAAGACACCCATAGGTAAGTAGTTATACAAGCCTGGACGGAATCCTTGTAAAGCCTCGGAAGTTTTCACAAATTTGAGATCTGGAGGTACCAAACTGGCTGGAGACAACCAAATAATGGTTGGGGATCAACTTCTTACAGGACACAGACTTTCCTTGTAAAGGGGGCCCAGATTTGCTCTGAGTTTCCAGGACAGCGTGGTCTCAAATTTGTCAATTTTCACTTGGAGAAGTGCAGGCACGGATTTTTCGTAGTAACCTCACTTTCCAAAATCTTCACAAAAATCAACAATCGGTTGATTTTCCAAGAAACATTCTAGTAGACACGATCAAGCACTCTTCTGGCTAGTTAATTTTCAAGAATATGCACTCGATGGCCAAAAACAAAGATAAAGTCTTAAGATTTTTAAAATTCTAAAAATCTGGACGACCTGTTCGGTCCCAAAACAAAAGAGAAAAGGGCAAGTCAAAAGTACCCAAATTTGTTCCGTCTTTTCTTTCTGAATCTATCAAGTTTATCAAAATCATAAAAATGACAGCGCTACAGGTGACTCGGAACAACAGAATTTTCGATATTAGGTTAGGAAAACTAGTCAGAAGAATCATAGATGTCGCTAGGTGTAAGAAATAGTACTTTCACATGAGTCCATAATAATTAAGAATAACAACATATATTTTTGTGACATTTCAAATGTTACAGCGTGTAGTTCATTTAGTGGCGGAGGAGTTCCTTGGGATCAGAGATGAAACTATGTTACTCAAATTGCAAGGCTTTATTGGCCTGAAATTTCTTTCACGAATTTATGTGTGTTTAGGTGGTCAAGCGTCTCCTCCAATTCTTTCATTTCTATCATCATGATCCATTATTATTTTAACCTAGTGATCAAAAATGGTATGGGAGGAAAAAAAAAAACTTTTAGCAGATAATAATCATCAAGATAAGAAAAAAATCCTATGAATATGGGTTCGAGTCGAGAAAGCTTCGTTTCCAAGGTAATGGAAATTTGAAAAATACTTATTACGTTTTATGCACGATCGGGCTATTCCAGTTCAAAAACTTAATTTATAGAATGGCATCCAATTGACATTTTCAAAAATAGAATTGTCTTCCTCCTATAAAGGCGCGTTCCCAATGAAAAATTGGCAACTTTTGTATTTGCAACGCTTCCAAAAATCACAACTCTTATTTCCATGGTTATCCACCACCGCACATTATCTATAACAATTATTATTATTATTATAGTTGGCTGGACTACTTGTTTCTAATGGTTGGTATGGTTGTTATGGTGCTTCTCAAATTGTTTATTTGTGTTAGTTACGCAAAACTCGCTTTCAAACAATACGGTTGCAAGCTGCAAATACGCTTTTTTGAAATTTAAGGAGAAATATGAGTGAAAATAGTGATAGTGAACTGGAAAATGCTTGGAATATTGGTTGTGACGCTGTGATTCCGGAAAAATCAAGGCAACGGTACGAAAAAACCTTTGAAATCTTTAAGAAGTGGTGCGTTGACAAAAACTGGGCTGTTTCGGAGAAAGTGCTTTTGGCATACTTTGTACACCGAAATCAGAAGTTAAAATCACCTGGAAGCTTATGGGCTGAGTATTCCATGCTGAAGGCGACACTTTTTCTGAAGGAAAATGTTGACATTTCGAAATACGCAACTTTAATTGCCTTTCTGAAAAGAAAAAACGTTGGCCATACACCGAAAAAATCTAAAGTTTTCACAAAGGAGGATTTATACAGGTTTCTAATGGAGGCACCAGATGATAGATACTTGATTTTGAAAGTGAGTTAATTTACCTGTGTTTTTAACAATGCAAAGAATTAATTTGTTGTTTTTTCCTAGATAGGCATGATATTTGGTGTAGCTGGAGCATGCAGAAGGGAGGAATTATGTAATTTGACTTTACAAGACATAGATAATCAGGAAACGTTCATTTTTGTTAAAATACCCAATACAAAAACCAATATTCAAAGGAGTTTCACCATCACTGGTAAAGAAGACCAGCGAGTGGATTATTTGGAGATTTGTAGGAAATATATCGAACTACGACAAAAAACCGCAAAATCAAACAAGTTATTCTTAAAAATTCGAAACGGCTTTTGCACTAATCAAGTTGTAGGAAAGAATACCATAGGAAAATGGCCAGCACAAATTGCCACATTTTTAAATTTGCAAAATCCTTCTCAATACACTGGACATGCTTTTCGCAGAACTTCTGCGACGCTTCTTGCAAATAGCGGCGTAGAAGTATTAGCTCTCAAAAGACATGGAGGTTGGAAATCCTCGACGGTTGCCGAGGGTTATATCGAGGACTCCATAGAGAGCAAATTGAAATTCGCAGACCAAATTTTACACCAAACTCTTTCAACAAGTGGTAAGACTTCGATCCAAACAACATCCAGACAACTAAACGATGAACCTCATCCTGTTTCTCTGATAAATGATACAGAAAATACGGTTGTTCTTGATAAGCACATAAGAAAAGGAGGTGTTGTGATAGATAATTCACATAACTGTATATTTAATTTGTATGTTAACAAAAAATAATAATATTTAAATTCTATTAATATTAAACCTATGTACTATAGTTGTTGAGGTGCATAATAAATTATAATTCTTGTTTTATTTCTATTTCCATAGTTGACAACACGGATTAAATTGAACTAGTGGCCTCCACCAATATTCGAGAGTGTTTGATGACACGAAAATAGCGGGCGGTAAGTTCAACTTACCGCCCGCAAACGCGGGCGGTAAGTAGTACTTACCGCCCGCTCGTGCATAAATAAAATTATTATAGTTATATCTGTTCTAACAGTGCGTCACACAATTTCTGAAACATCCTGTATAGTTGTTTTTGAAATAACATATGCAAGATTTTATCATCAGGGATATGCGCAGTCATAGGGGTTAAGGAAACGTGGAAACGAATTTGATACGTCGTCAAAGTTTTGCATGGGCCAAGTTCTATAAGCATGATGTGGTTAGAGCACATTCAAACTCCTGATTATTTTTAACGACTGTCAAATGAGAACAAAAGTACCGGCACTTAATCTATTTTTTTTTCATATATTTCACGTTCTGTTCATTCGATCTAATTTGTTCTTTTTAAAGTGAAAATATTTCTGTTATCCTAGTATGCCTAGTAGGAGGCCTTCTGGTTAACTTAAGTAGCTTCAGCTTATCCTGCATCCCATAACAGAGATTTTCCTACTTGGATTCAAAAATATCTTGCCAGCTTCGAAAAATGTTCAAAGTAACATCCATTACATAAATATGATTGCCTTTACGTCCACTTTTGCTCCATATACCTATTGGTCAAGACTTATATAGTCTTGTAGAACATGTCACAAAAACAAAACGCCCATAATCTATACCGAGACCATTGCCATGAGAAAATACACACATCAAAATCGCATCTGGTTTTATTCAAATCGGTCTCTTTAGAATTCATAAAGCGTCGGTACTACTCACCAGCTAAGGCGCTTGTAGCGCATATGGGACACCTGTGATTAGTCTTAAATTTAAATCAACTATTGGCCTAGAATATATGTATATGATGTCTCGGATTTAACTGTAAAGTTAAGGAAGCGAATAAAATCGGTTTTAGTATTATTGCATCGTATGCATAGGATTAATGAATGGAAAGCAAGGAATATATGTTAGTGGTACTCCTATGGATTCCGAGGAGAAAATTTGAGTGGTCATTTTGTTGATTTTCATATAGGATAAGTTTAATTAAGTGCATAATACATGTCAGAAGCTGACATCCATTTTGGCTCATATGACTCACAATGAAACAGTATAATAGAATTTAAAGTATTCTCAGATCAGAGACCCTCAAAAGGGAATCATATATCTCATTATGAGATAAGACAGTTATTATCAATTGCTCATATTGAATACAAGTAGAACATGGGGCAAAAGCAAACAAATAAGTACATCTTTAAACGGAGTACCCACATTATTATATAGGAAGTTTACTTCCCAATGGACTCAACAGGAGGAAATATTAATGCATGTCAAGTCAAAGCCAAATTTTCGGTACTATTAGGCAAATTCGATGATCTAGTTTCAAAAGTTGTAAATTTAATGTTTTTCCCACAATAAATAGGTACCACATGACACCATCCACGCGAATACGAGTCCATAAAAAAAAACCACCGTTCGATATAATAAAATGCAACCCATCAATGTCTGGTATGCCCTCAAAAAAAAAACCGGCTACCAAAATTTTGGATCGCCAACACGTTCTATAAGATTTCCCCTTCCGCGGAATACCATCCTCGATCGGCATCGATGACACTCTTGGGGCCGCTGCTAACTGTAAAATCGTCAATGGACTCTCTTGGTAAAAGAACCCGTCCTTGGTCTTGGTTCTTATTACACACTGTTCACTAATTCGTTTTGGTTCTCTGTCGCCGCGACGTGCGGTGTGTGCCTGCCCGCTGTTATCTTCTTTTGCTCTTCTTCGTTTTCGACTTTAGGTTGTTGGTCCGATTTTTCGGTATCGAACGGGACCCGCGCCGGTATCGGGATCGTCACCGTGACCAAATTTCAACGTCGTGAATGGTGAATTGATTTTTTTTTTTTGGTTCGAGCGAAATTGTTTACGGATTTACGTTTGGAAACGATACAGGTCAGTAAGTGTATTGTTGTAACGATTTTAATTGAATTATCAGCAAAAAAGTTCCGTGTTATATAAGATTATCCAAACTTGCTCCTGGTTATAGATAAAAAAAACGACGTAATCGAAGATGTTGAGCAACACTCAATCTACAAAAAAACTTGTTTTTAAAAGCTTCAAAAATAAGTGAATTTGTATGAGCTCGACAATAATTTCTTGGGAATTATCATGCCCAAGTACTATACGTAGGCTTAACCTTGTTTTCTATCTAACACGTCCAAATCTGGCTCATTTTTGTGTGTGTGTACCTACTTTTCTAAAAAATACTGATTTGAATAATTAGTTCACATCACATACTCAACATTCACTCATTCTTCTCAACCAAGTTATTCGAATTTTTCCTTCAATTTGGAATAATTGGGGTTGAAAAATATTATTAACTTGAGAAAGGATTCATTTAGGTTTGATTTTTGAAGCCTCATTAAAGTTTCATGTACCTATCCCAGAGAATTCGTATATTGTCAATACAAAATAAAGTCCTGAAAATTCAAACGCAATAATTATACAGAATTAATTTGTGTCATGAATTATAACAAATTCAATTCAAAATACGTTAATCACCTATTTTTATGAATTTCAAAGTTAGGTACCACTGTTGGAGCTTGGGAACAGTAGAACTGTTAATAAGTTTCAAATATTGATTGAAACAAAAAAAAAAACTTATTACTGAAGATTCAATAAAACAAAAGCATACGAAACAAATCAATAAACATTATCTAGATCGACATGCTTCGTCGAATGTCTTAATAACATAAACGGTCGATTTTGCACCTTAATACGCCGATAAATTGAATAATCATGAACCAGTAGAATATTTGATGAAAAAAAAAAAAACATGGACTGTTAACGAACGCGATGATAGAACAATGATCTCTGTGGGGGATCTACTTTTTTTTAATATTTAGTGCTCTTTCAGGCTCCAAGTACTATTAATTCTGTTGACGCCCTCAAGTAAAATCAAAAATTATTTTTGAAGACTTTTCTGATACAAAGAGATAGATTTATACAAGGTGTTCCGAAATTAATGCACCAAATTGTTATGGCATATTCCACATCAAAAAAAAAATCCCAGTTACCTAAACATATGTCCAGAAACGCTTGCTTTCCGAGATACCGGGGTGTTGAAATTTTAAGAAAAAAAAATATGTTTTTATCATAAGTTTCAAACCACTCTAGATATTTCATTGAAATTTTGTACACTGCTTTCAAGCAGCAATAGTTATTTATTATACAAGACGGTAAAAAGATGCTTTACCTGTGAGTGGAAAATGTTGATTCACGAGCGACGAAGGAGCGAGTGGATTAATTTCACGAACAGGTAAAGCTTTTTTACCGTCGTGTGTAATATTCTATTTTATTCTTGAGCAACTTTTTATTTATTACAATTACTAAAATTATACATATTTAGGTACCTACCTATATTGTTACAAGTTGACAAAGTAACAAACTGACACATTTCTGGTGTTGTCAATCATAGAAGATAACTTAACAGATTTCTGACCACAGCTGCATTCCAGTGCCTTAATTGTTAGAGTACCATGCTCCTGGAGTGTGACGCTCTTGAACTGCTCAACATAAGCAGCACTGGGACGCTCTCGTCTTAGCCCCCACCATTTCGAACTTCAGGAGCATGAAACACCAAAATAATGGTTGGTGCTCGAGGGGGCAAGGGATGGGATAACAGAAATAAGTAGTTCAAGTGTGCGAGACTCTAAGCACTGGAACGCTCAAAGTAATTGTGGAGCACTCCTGAGCTGCTCAGGAGTAACTCAAATGGGTCACTGGAAAGCACTTCAGATGAGTGGGTAAAATTGACATATGAGTGGGTAAAGTTGACATATGAGTGGGTAAAATTGACATATGACTGGGTAAAAATTGTTCGATTTCACTATTTCCAATAAAATGTTACTTTGACAGTGAGTTTTGAGTCGATAAAATGATAATTTACCGTTCGCGATAGAATAAAAGACATTTTTTGATGTGAAAATATATTTTTTTAAATTACCAGTGGCGTCCTACCAGATTTATGAGAAATATTTTTTGAGATAAAAATGGTGCGTCACTGCTTTTTCCTAAAATAAAAGTCATTTTTGAAATCCCCATTCAATTTGGAACAAATTTGATCTCTTCACTTTTTCCCGAAAGATGCACCGTTTTAAAGTAAAAAAATTGAAAACCAATTTGATTCATGGCGAAATCGCCAAAATTATGATAAAAATGTTAAACATTAAACAAATTAGTTTTGTGACATCACTGTTTTTTTTTGTTTTAAGTATTTCACATCAGAAAATGTCTTTTGCTGCTTGAAAGCACTGTACAAAATTTCAAAGTGGTATGAATTATGATAAAAAAAAATAGTTTCTTTCTTAGAATTTTAGAATTTCAACAACCTATATCTCGGAAAGGAAGCGTTTTCGGACATATGTTTATATAGGTAACTAGGGCATAATTTCGTCGTAGAATATGCCATAAAAATTTGGTGCATTAATTTCGGAAAACCCTGTATAAACATTCATAAGCAGATCTATGCAAGAAATACATTTTCGTAATGGATACGAAACTCTCTGTTTCCGTCAGAGTTATGGAAATAGGAATATGGGCGACGAAGATAAAAACTTCGTTCTCATAAGAGCTCTGCTCCCCTGTTTCGATAATGCTGACCCAGATGCACAAAAAAATTTGGGAACAATGTTCATTTCTATTGAACTTATTTTTTTTTCTATGAGCATTGAATAATATGCGTAACATATATACATTTTCTATTGATTAATGTGAATGATTACTCATACAGTGAGTTTCTTTTTCATTACTCAATTGTTTTCAACCAATGGAAATATCCTAGTCTTATTACTCCCCTATTTAAGAGCCAATTAGAAAATTCGACAACATACTTCAACCTTCCAATCGGTCATTTTGACAGCTGATTTAAACAAGACGTGTTAAGGTCTATTCTCACTTGCGCTTCACTCAGCTCGGCCACGCGACACGCCGCCGCGCTGCAATTTGTCGCTAGATAAATATTTCATTGGTTTAAATGCGACGCGTCGTAAAGTGTAGTGCAGTATAGGTGGGAATCTATTCATCCAAATCAAAATTTTGGCACTAAGACCCGTTAGAAATTATACTCTCCAATTGTCAATTTCAACTGTACCAACTATCTGCTTTCTATAGCTTATTTTAGAGAATATTTCACAAGAAATGTCAAATTTGTCTAGTGGAAGAAGAGACACATCAAAAGAGTACTAGAAGTAAGAGTTCCATCAGGATCACCACAATGTTTCAAGTATGATATAATAATATCTTCTCATGGAGGAAACAATTTCCATTCACAAAGCAACTAATAGATGAAGAAGAGGAATCAGATGTACTTATATTTCTAATAGCTTATAATAATGGCATAAATATCTAGTATGGTTGGTTGGGATGCAGAGGCCGGGTTAGGTGGCCCCAACTCAGTGAAAAGTTTCGTGACCTTGATGAAGTTTAGGAGCCTCTTCACTATGTGACTTTTGGTGAGTTTAGAGATAGGGTCTCCTAAACCTATCTGTCTGCTGTATCTCTACCAGCGAAAACCTCATATTCGGAGACTATGTGGGTGGCGGTTTCATCCTCTTCGTCACAAAGGCTGCATATGGGTTCATGTTGGAGGATGCCCATTATGTGAAGGTGTTTTCTCAGGTCACAGTGGAACCAGTTATTAGTCTGATTTGATTCCTGTTTAGCTGTAGGATCTCTACAGTAAGTTTAGGTGATGCTTGTTGTTCCATTAGCTTACTGTGTCCAAGCTTCGGAAGAGATTGCCAGTGAATTTGGTGTTGTCTATACATCCATTGGTTTATTTCTGTTCTGATCGAAGATTTTGTGGTTCAGGACCAGTATAACTGGTTGCTGATCCTTCTCGTGCCAGAGCATCTGATTTCCTTCAATTCCTTTATGCCCTGGCACCCATTTAAGGGTTACCTTGATGGCCATACTTAGGTTTTTGAGGTTTTCCAAGCATTCCAGACAGGTTTGAATTTTATTTCTATTTTATAACTGTTGAGTGCTTTAGTCAATGCCTGTCTGCCTGAGCAGATAAGGATGTTTTTACCTGTGTATGCACCTCCTTAGGTTTTCTCTCAGATAGGAGTCAATGGCATAGATTTCTGCTCGAAATACAGTGCAGTGGTGTATTCTCCCAGGAGGTCGATTGGTGTCGTATCTGGGAGTTTGTCCATTATATTCCAGCGCCGGTTCTAGTTCCTGTTCTGGAGCCGTCAGTGACCAGACAATTTCTTGTTCAGGTGTAAGGTGTTACTCCGGTGTTTCCTGATGGAACAATCTCGATGGCCAAGGGCGAGGAATTTTTTCGAATAGTTGCTTCCCATGATTAAAATCATTGCGATTATTTTGGAGGTTACCGCATGTCCATTTGGTTTTGGGTTCCAGTTTTCGTTCAGCTGGAGAGGATAGACCTCGATTTTTGTTTCCGCTTTGACGATAAGGTCAATTGGTGGGAGATTCAGGATCGTTTCCATACTTGCCGTCAATGTGATTTTTTGTGCACCAGTAATACAAATAAGACATGCAAGTTTCTGGATTTAGGCTAGCTCCAGATTTGCTTGTCTTTGGTTCACTTTAGGCTATCATACAAGTGTATATTCAGTGTACAGGGTCTTTCCCCATACAGGGTGATTCAAAAGTGAGCGGCATCCTTTCGGGGGCGTATTCCTTGCATAAAAATGGGACAAAAAGTTCCGGGTCCGGAAATGCTTCCTAAGAGAGCTACGCCCCTTCGAATAGGACACCTGAAAGACGTATTTTTCTCTATAACTTTGAAACCCCTCTACAAATGGATTTTGAAAATTGGTGTATTTTATAAACATTTGATGACAATTAAGATACTAAATTGAAAATTCAAAAATCTCAACCAGTGGCGTCACATACTAGAGAGGATGAGGGTTAAAACATCC